GAAGAAAACAATGTTCAAGTTGCAGCTGCTGAGTCTCACTGAGATGGAGCTGTGTTTGTTTAGCTTCATGCTCGGAGTTAAAACCAGGGCGATGATTAGAGCTGTATGTAAAATCACAGCATATAGTGTTTAGAATTTTTAGCTTAGTTAACCAAAAAAAATCATGTTTTTGATCTTTTTGTGCTTTCTGTGTGATTTCTAATGGCTTTCCCAAACATACACCTGCTGAGAGGGAGATGTAAATATTTAGTAACTATTAAGCTCAACTTTAAAGCTAGTTTGTGTGATGTTTTGATTTAGTGTAAAAACCTGGCATTAATTTGGCTCTGTACTACATCTTGTAACACTTGGCTGGCCCTAACACTGAGGCCCATGTGTTGTTTGTAGACTGTAGCTCTGCTTTCAACACCATTATTTCTGACCTTCTACTAGAACAACTGTGGCAGCTCAATGTCCCCTTTTAGCAAACTTAGCAGAGACCAAGAGTGAAAGCCCTAGGGACTCGGACCGCTCGCCCCCTCCACCTCTTCTTTCCCCAGGCAATCATTCTCCTAAACAAGGACCCTTCTCATGGGTGCATATGCACTTTATTATACTGCTGTAAAGTACATAACCACCATATATACCATGCCATAATTTTTTTTGAATGAGTGCCTCTGCCACTTTCCCCTACTATAACAAGTGCACTGCAGTAATTCAGTATTTGATTGTAGCTGTACTTATCTCCTGTTGTACATCCTTTTACTTGCAGGTTGTTTGTGTATTGTCTATTTTATGTTTATATGTAGTGTTCATTTTATGGAATTTAATTTTATGTTGACACCTGCACCAAGAGAAATTCATTGTACACCTGGTACATGGCGAATAAAGATTTGGATTTTGAGCTGCACTAATTCCATGATATGCTTAGAAAAACTTATGACACATTGTGATGTAATTAGCACATAAGTAATAAATATTGTTATATAGCCATGTCCTATTTTAAAGGATGGATGAAATGGGTACACAAATCAGTGCCTTTTTGTCTGAAACTACTATTTGAACACTTTTGTTTTAAAGGCATTCATTGTTTGACAGTGATGTGAGGAACATCTGTGGTTTATTTTTTTGCTGTCATGTTGTCAGGGTCTGGAGGACGGGAGGAAGTATGCTTGTGCACCTTTCCCTCCGTATGTGGATGACACAGAATTGCTAGGTCTGGATGAGGAGATGGAGGACACAGAATCTAAGAAATCGCTCTATGACATCTGCTTCCACCTTCTCAAACTCTATAGTGTCAAGTAAGGAACATGTTTTTTTGTGCATGCCTTTAGATTACTATAGGTATAGAGCCTAACCAATCCCAGTTGTCTTTGAAAGTCTGGTCCAACAGATCTGTCATTTTGAGGAATTCTACAGATTTTTTTGTTTTGGAGTTGTCAAAGTATTGCTGTAGAACTGCTTCTCACTTGTCTTCTCTTAATTAGTTATGGTGGACTTTTGAAATTCAGTCGGCTTCTTCCTTTTTCTCTCAGGCACTACAGCCTGCAGCAGCTACTGGATCCCAGCACGGTGACTGCAGATCAGCTGGACTACAGGCTGAGCTGGCACCTGTGGAATGTGCTGCAGGCTTTAAACTACACCCACCTCTCACTGCCACGTCAGGGCCTCCTGCACGCCAGCTATGCTGCTCAGCTCGAGAGTGCAGGCCTCTGGGAGATGGCGGTTTTTGTTTTGCTGCATATCCCTGACTCCGCGTAAGTAACGAGTCTTTAATTTCAACAGAGCTTATCCTGAGCTGCTGATTTAAGGAATAGTTCCCCTAAACACTGCGTACATGCTTAAAAGCAAATGAAAGCTGCATATCATATATTATCTCATATCGGTCTAAAAATGCTGACTTTGGTTAGAAACTGGCCATTGTTTAAGTAAAGTAGACGTTAACGTGCCATTTTTGAATTTGTGTGCTTTGTTGTGTAGTGTAGTAAATGGTTAGTTTTTTTTTCCTTTGTTGAAGTCTTAAAAAGGTACTAAAAAGCATTGTTTTTGTTTTTAAAAATTATGCAGTGGCCCTGTAGCCTTATCTGTAAATAATTAATTCTTTAAGTAAGTAATTTTAAACAACTAAGCTTTGCTGATCATTCATATATTTGGGCCTGTAGACTTCGAGAGCGTGCTGTGCGAGAGATGTTGAACCAGCACTGCCCCCTTGAGGAGACTGAGGAGTCTGCAGAGAAGGAGCGTTTTCTTACAGACAAGCTGCTGATCCCCATACATTGGATCCACGAAGCCAAGGCCATCCGCGCCTGTAGGGATGGAGATAAACACAGAGAAGCGCTGCACCTCTACAAGGCTGGCCACTGGAATCACTGCCACCGACTAGTCATCCAGAACCTGGCCTCAGGTTAGTACTCAGTCATGAAAATCTCACTCTGGTACATAATGATGGCGATAGCCTTCACTCTAACGGGGAACTATCTTCCTTTGTTCTCACGGTGCTCTTGAAGACTGCATCATTAATGATAATCATGATTACCTGATGGAGTTCCTGGAAGGTTTGGCAGTGCCTGAGCGCAGCGTACAGATCCAAGACTGGGACACGTCAGGCCGGGTCTACCTGGACTACATCCGCGTTATTCAGACCCTCCAAGCCATTCAGCGGGTACCTCAAACAGCTAATTTATTTTTATTTCTAGAATTGCTTTGAATACTACAATGGAGTAGGCACAGTGGGTGTTACTCCAATTACTCATGTTTGTTGTTGGCCTCTAAAAAATTTTTAAATGATTTTTTTATTTGTAACTCCTATTTTGTGTACATATAGATGGAGAGTCCAGGATATGAGCTGGAGCGTCTACACACAGATGTAACATCTCTGTGCAGCAGGATTGAACTACTTCCCTGCTCTAAAGCCAAAGACAGACTTGCTCAGTCAGGTCAGAGATGAGTTTCCATGGCTGTCTTTTAACATGTCTGCATGATCTTGCTTATTTGGTTATTTCTAGACATTGTTAACTTTGGTCCTCCAATGTTTGTGCTTGCAGAAATGGCCAAACGTGTGGCTAACATCCTGCGTGTGGTGCTAAGCCTTCAGCAGGGTGGCGAGGGCACTCCAGACCCCCGTCACATTCCCTTGTGCCACTTGGCCCCCCACATCGGGCGCCTGCCCATGCCCGAGGACTATGCTCTAGAAGAACTTCGCAGCCTCACCCAGTCCTACCTACGGGAGTACATTGTTAGTCACTGAGAGTCAGGACATCATCTGGAACTGCAGGGCTTTCTTAACTCCTGGGCAGTCACCATTGGCAATCTTCAGACTTCAAGTGCTCTGGGTTCAGCTCTTTCAGACTTGTGGAATCCTAATGGCCCATAAACACAGACACAAATCTTCTGGATAAGTCATTCCTGCGTGTGTTTGGTTTCTTGTATGCTTAGATATGTGCGCCTGTCTTTGATAAAGTATATTTTGAAGAGTCTTCTTGATAAACCTCTTCGGCCATTGATCTGTAAATGGATAATTCCCTTTGAAGGGGGTCCTCACCAGCTTTTAGATGATGTCAATTGCAAGTTCAGAATCACAGTACTACATAAAACATCTAATTTGAGTTCAAAAGTTGTGTAGTGTTTTGGTGGAGTACATTTTATCGTCTGAGCTCCTGATGGTGCATAAACCGTGGAAACGTTTAGCTGTTTTTCCTTTGAGGATGAGTATGCGTAGTTTACTGACTTGTAATGCGAAATTATTGTAGATGTGGGTTTTAGTCCCTTCTCTCAGAGTCTTTAAATATTTTTGTCAGTATGATCCAAAAGAGTGAGGACATGTTGGTAAAACGTTTGCGATTTGGAATGAGTGCTGGTCTTTTTAAGGGTGAGGATGAGGAGATGAGATGGGGTTCAGCTTCATCTAATGAATATCCTCGGTTTGCACCAGTGGTGACACAGTAAAAATGTAAATTGGTCATGAATATCTCTATTTTTGTAAGGTTTTGTACATATGCCAGTCAGCAAAACCGCATTCTTAAAAGGTTTTCAAGAGTGTGACAAACAAAAATAAGTGAATAGTGCTCCAACAAAGCAGGTGATTCTAACGCTATACATTACTTTGAGGATGCTGAGAGAGAACTTAATATATGGCTGCAATTTTTTTGCTCATACACACATTATACATGTGTTTATTAGAATTACATCACAGCTGTATTGTCCTTTTCTAATGTCACGGTAAGTGCTTAAGTTCTTCAGATCAGTCCTGCAATAATGTGCCGTTTCCCTTCAAATGTATGTTTTGAACTCTGTTGAAGCCTCTGTTCCTTCAAGGTCTGGATGTGTTTGTTGCGGTCTGTGTTTGTTGCTGTGCATGGTCGTGCAGATGATTTTCTTTTTCCCTTTTCTTTTTTTTTAAACAGAAAATAAAATAAAAACAATAATTGTACATTTTTGGTCCTCATTTGTAATGTTTGAGTGACGAGTGAAGCTTGCTCCTGCTTTTTACCCTGCACAATAACCTACACTCTTAAAGATGGTTCTTCAAGGGTTCCTTAATAAAGGGAATGGTTCTATTTAGAACCAAGGAATTCTACACAGAATTCTCCCCAGACTGATGGAGAATGTGTTGTATGTGGTTTTATGTAGAACCCTTTTGAAAATGGTACTATATGGTACTAAAGTGTTCTATTGTTACAAGCTTGACATCAAAACAATAGAGGCCCTTTTGGTGCTGTATAGCACCAAATACAACACATTCTCCATCAATCTTAAGAGCCATTTAAGCATGAATTGGCTCTATACAGAACTCATGGGCCTAAATAGAACCATTCCCATGCTAAAGAACCTTTTTTAGAGTGTGTAACTGTCCCATACAAACTACACAAGTCTGTTTATTTAACTACTGTACTTCAATCTTCATCCATGAATTAGCTTCACTGATTTGTCAACAGCCTGAAAGCAGCTCGTTATTCCCGGTGTGTATGTGTGTTTTCCCGCGCTCGCTGGTTCCTCCACCGGTTAGTTACCTCACACGGAGCTGAGCTAACGGCTCGCTGAGCTCGCGCTGCCTCAGTCTCTGTGCGGTTGTTACGGAGATACCTGAAGACTGCAGTACGTCCCGCCTGGCGGCCGAGTGAGCGAGTTCTTTGACCTTTTTCTGCTGGAAAAAATGAATCTCCGGAACCGCTTGTTCCCGCTGCAGTTCCTTTTCGGTTTCAGTATTTTTCCAGGTAGGAAATACACCGTTCATTTTAAGTTACTGACAGTTATTTCCACCGTTTCACCGCCACTGTTGTTATATCGACGCGAAGTTTTGAGTCTGCAGTCTCGGACCGACTCGTCTGTAGTAACGTTAGAGCTGCTTCTCCGTTAATTTTCTGAAGTCCAGTTTATTCCACTCTGCTTTTATGCTTTATTTTGAATATTTGTGTGGTTGATAATCTTCGTTCGGATTCGAAGTCTGTCAGGCGAGTTTTGTTGTTGCTTATGTGGAAATGATATGGTTTAACTGTTATGCGGAGCGTTTGGCGTTCAGTAAAATCTGGTGAAATCCCAACGAAGCGAAGCAAACATCCCTATAGCGCTGAACACCATCACTTCGAGAGAATGTGTTCGTGAAGTTGATGTGCACGTGAATTCATCTCTGCGGTGAGAGATTTTGAGTTACTCTTCTGTGCTTTCTTCTCCGTATCAGAGATTATAATCTCCACAGTGCTGGTCCTTCAATGATCAAGTACAGTCAGGTCCATAAGTATTTGGACAGTGACAGTTGTGTATTTTGTAATTTCGCCTCTGTACACCACCACAGTGTATTTTAAATGAAGCAGTCAAGGTGATTTTCAGCTTTAAGGGGTTTAACAAAAATATTGCGTTAGCCGTTTAGGAATTACATCCATTTTTTACATAGTCTCCATTTTCACAGGCTCAAAATGAATTGGACAAACTAACAATTATAAATAAAGGATTATTTTTGAATACTTGGATGCAAATCCTTTGCAGTCAGTGACTGCCCGAAGTCTGGAACTCAATGCGAGTTTCCTCAATTGAGATGCTTTGCCAGGCCTTCACTGCAGCCACCTTCAGTTGCTGCCTGTTTGTGGGTCTTTCTGCCTTCAGTTTTGTCTTCAGTAAGTGAAAAACATGCTGGGTTGAAGTCAGGTGACTGACTCAGTCATTTGCCTTAAGAAGCTCTTAGGTTGCTTCCGTGATATTTTTTGGGTCATTATCTATCTGTACGTTGAAATGTCATCCTATCAGTTTTGAGTAAATCTGAGCAGAAAGTATAGCTCTACACACTGTAGAATTCATTCTGATACTTTCAGTCAGCAGTCACATCATCAATAAACACCAGTGACCCAGTTCCACTGGCAGGCATATATGCCCATGCCATAACACGGCCTTCACCATGTTTCACAGATAATGTGGTATGCTTTGGATCATGAGTCCTTCCTTTCTTTCTCCATACTCTTCTCTTCCCATCATTCTGGTACAAGTTAATCTTGGTTTGATCTGTCCCTCGAATCTTGTTCCAGAACCAGGCAGTCTTTTTTAGATGTTTTCAAGCTAAGTCTATTCTGACCTTTCTGTTCTTGAGTGGTACCAGTGGTTTGTATCTTAAGGTAAACCCTCTGTATTGAAGGGTTTACCTTAAGGGGCTTTTCTTCACCATTCCCATTACAGAACTGACTCTCTGTGTGTTTTTCCTTGCTTTCTTTTCTTTGCCGAGTTGAACAGCTGCCCATCCTGCGTGTCTGATGCTGCTGCCTTGATCGGGTGCCACTGCTCGCCGTGCAAACCTCACCCTCACAACCTGACCCCACTGATGCTGCTGCTGCTGCCTGAACTAAACTAATCAAATTAATCATTTGCTCCACCTGTTTTCCCTGTTTTTGTACTATAATACTTTATACTAACAATGTTTTACTATCCGGTGTCGACCAGAGGAGGATGGGTTCCCCTTCTGAGTCTTGGTTCCTCTCAAGGTTTCTTCCTGTTTCTCTTAGGGAGTTTTTCCTTGCCACTGTCGCCACTGGCTTGCTCATGGGGGCTTGGACCCGGATTTCTTTCTGTAGTGCTGATTTCCTTGTAAAGCTGCTTTGTGACAACACCTGTTGTAAAAAGCGCTATATAAATAAACTTTGCTTGCTTCACCACAGAAAGAATTCTGCAGTCATCCATTTCAGTTGTCTTCCATGGTCTTCCAGGCCTTTTGGTGTTGCTGTGCATTTCGTCTTATTAAGAATGCACCAAATTGTTGATTTGGCCACTCCTAAAGTTTCTGCTATCTCTCTGGCAGGTTTGTTTTGTTTTCTCAGCCTATTGATGGCCCCCTTCACATCAACGCCTCTTTGGACTGCATATTGAGAGTTCCCATGAACAGCTAATAAATCAACACTAACTATCACACAAGGCATCACAACTTGGAAACAACTCCAGACCTTTTATCTCCTTAATTTTGTCATGAAATAATGATGAAACACACCTGTCCCAATACTTTTGAGCCTGTGAGAATAGAAGGACTGTGTAAAAATGGTTGCAGTTCCTAAATGGTTAATGCAGTATTTGTATTAAACCCCTTGAAAAATTAAAGCTGAATGTCAACACTTCAATCACATTTTGATGGCTACGTTTCAAGTCCATTGTGGTGGTGTACAGAGGCAAAATTACAAAAATTGTCACTGTCCAAATACTTATGGACCTGACTGTATGTTTCAATAGAATCTCTTTCACACCAGTGCTCTTTAGTCGTATCCTCTAATCTCCTGGTGATTTCTGTATCTGAAACTATGTGCATGGCAGGCATGTTATTAATCAGACTGGGCAGATTTTAATTATTAGTTCACTGAATTCGATACACAGCCTGTAGCTGGAACAGGACTCATTTGGGATTGCCTTTTACAAGTACTCAAACTGCCAGTAAATAATTAGTGGCTACAACTCACCAAGGATATGAATACAGAATCTGGCTGTTTTTCAGCATTCAGATGTTTCCTTATAGTTTTCCATGGGACTCATTCAGTAGTAACTTCAGACTATACTGGCATACTACAGAGAGCTCCAAAAGTATGTGGACAGTTGTTTTCTCGCAGTTATTTTATTTATTTGAATAAGTCAATTCAAAAGATTTCCCTCTTATCAGAAATTGGGAGTTTTTACAGCTGTTTATCACTTTCATAGCATGACAATGTTCGGAAAGAACAGACAGTAACTCACATTAAATATCATCTTGTCATTTGCATTTTTAAATGCTGACATATATCAACAATCATCGTGTATCTCTGTAATGACGATCTGCCAGGTTTGTAGCTACTGCAGGCGTCTTTAATTCTTGCTTGTTTCAGAGCTTTTAGAATATGAACTGCATGCTGTATTGGATTTAGATCAAGTGACTGACTTGGCCTGTCAAGAATTTGCCCACTTTGTGGCCATGAAACCTCTGTAACTGCCTGCACAGTGGGTCACATTTTGGGTCATTGTTGCTGCGTGATAAAGCATTGTCCAAAGAGTTTTTGAGATATTTGGGTGTTCCTCAAGAGCCAAGAGGTTTGCAGGCTTTAGAATGTGTCCTGCAAACTGCTACCACGTGACCAAGTCCCAGTTGCAGTCGTGGATGTCAAAGTAATTTCACTCCCTTTAACATGTTGTAGCAAAGTGGCATCCTTTTTTGCATTCTGCCATGTCTTTTTTTCTCCACTACTCTCCATCACTGTGGTACATGCGGAAGTGTCATTTATCCTTAAGACTGTGTTCCAGGACTGAGGAGAAGTCTTTTAGAGAAAGTTTAAGTAACTCCCAGCAACTTACTGGTGTATATTGGTATCTGTGATGTATAATTGTGTAATGGTCTTTGTCACATATCTGTCTAGTTGAGTGTTTCTCTGCACAAACAGAATTAGGCCTAATTACTTTACTGATTAGGAAACCTCTGTGGAGTTGAATCCAGTGTGTTGGAGCAGGGGAATCATTAGGCTAGACTCTGCAGTGCTCTTGGGCCTCCAGCTCAGGGGAGTGAAGAACTGCCCATAGAAATGATACCAGCTCCTGCTGACTGTAGAATAAATAGTGTTCATGAGAACCAGCAGCAAGTTTATTTACCTTTGAAACCTCATGAGATCCTTTCCAAGCAATATCTTTGTACGCTCATCTCATCTCCTATAATAATAATATAATGCTCTAATATAATAATAATGCTCTAAAATACCCACTTCAATTAAAAAGGGTTTGTTAATTAGCTGCTTAGTTGGATCAAGTGCAGGGAAGACACTAAAACGTGCAGGGCAGGAGGAACTCCAGGACCAGTGTAGAACACAGTGTGGAAGTGAGCAGCATCCTTTCATACAGGTTTATACAAAATGTCATCAGACATTCATGATGTGCTCTGTAACCCATGGATTCTGTTTTTCCCAAGTTACTGTAGAGTTTATCCTAAGGAATACTTCAGCATTTTTCAAACTAATCTCTGCCTACTGCAACCGTACTGTGCCATTGATTACCATAGACAATAATTTTGACCCTTTTTACTTAGAAAAGAACTGAAAAATGTTTCACTTGATACTGTATAGGCTACTTATAACAGAACCCATAAAACTGTAGCTCAATACTGTGAATAAACAGGACTATATGATGTGAACTGAAACCACAACCATAGAAAATCTTACTAGTCTTACTAAAGCCATTCCTATGAAGCTTTAGCCATCTTACACAATACTGGAACAACTACAGTAAAAAGGAAATTCAGTTCCTCATATCCATGTGCAATCACGTGCTGTTAATGTAGATTAGTTTTCTAAAGACACGTAAATACAATATTTTTTTATACATTTTACATATTTCATACATTTTTTATACATTAAAATACATACATTTGTCTATGGTAATCAACCAGATGCTGTAGATGCAGCAGATAGACATTAGGTAAATGTAGAAAAATGCTGAACTATTCTTTTAAATGCTTAACCGTTACACCTTTCCTGTTGTTTTGCTCTTAATGGGCAATTTGTGCAGCCGGTTTGGTTTCAGAACACCAAAGAAATGGTCTTTTATCTAAATGAATTTAGGATTGTATTGGTCATTCTTGAGTCCATGTTTATTATATGTTTATGTCCTCCTACCCGTCCTCTTAGAAAAGCCCTTTTGACAGTCACTACTGTGTGCAAAATGGTGACCTCTAATCAGGCCTGTGCACAGATAGTTTGGGGGCAGGGGCTCAAGGAGGAAAAACGGCACATGAACACAAATAAAATTTATTTTACTGCATAGTATTAAAAGTTTTACCAAAGGCAACCAAAAACACTAACATTAATATCTGTGCATGGATTTGAATCACGTCATGCAAAGCTTTGAAGTTATTCACTCCACAAGATCTCATATAAACTGTTTTTACAATAATTAAAAAAATTGTTTAGCAAAGTTTAGCAAATTTTTAACACCCCCTGTTATGTTTGGTTGTTTTTCAAAATAACCGAACCTTTGCTAAAGATATTATCAGTCTTTTATTGGTGGGATGTCTAACATTGTGATAACATGTCTCCACAGGCAGATGGTACTGCATCTGTGTATGTGCCTGCTTCTTATTTAATATGAGTTTTGGGATGTATTTACTCTCCAGACTAGGGTTTTCCCAAGATTGACTGTGAGTTTGGGAATGTATGAAAGTGAAATGTACGATGAATGTATGAAAGTATGAAAGATGAACCTTCATGGCGCCTTCATGCTCTGCAGATGGCGGCCTGTTTTTTTTTCCTCTTGTTCTTCATAGCCAAATACATCTCTCATCATCTTTACACCAGCATTATGCTTGATTACTCGTGAACTTCTCAGCCACCTAGGTTCACCTCTCAGCTGCCTCCAACTGTTTTATTTTACACAGTGAAATAAAGAAAAAAAAATAAACAACAAAAAAATGGACTTTTTGGAGAATTTGATGTGACAGTGATGATTTGTTACAATAGTCTTTTTCCAACTGGTACGTTTATCAGGGTGAACTATGTACATTCATTGACCATGTTTGTTCGCATAGCATCAGAAAGTGTTTCAGTTACAACAGTAAGGGATTTTTTTATACCGAAAAGTGATCTTTGCCCATGACCCAGAAGGATAAGCAGCTTGGAAAGTGTGTGTGTGTGTGTGTGTGTGTGTGTGTATGATCTCCTATGAACACGGCCATCAAAACAAGACCAATGTATAATATTACAGGCCAGATCTGTCAGCTGGTACTGCATGTTTTTGCACCAGGAATTAATGCAGTCTCTCCTTTACAGTGTGTGCTGTTTCTCTTTGTCTGAACTGATGTTTGTAGAAAAGAGCTGAGCACACTGGTCCTGAGCTCCAGGGAGCAGTAAAGACCTGCTACTTCATTAGTGCCCTGCTGCTATAGTAGGCCTATGTGTTAGCATGTTTTCAAGAGTTAACATCTTTCCTAGAATTCAAGATCATAGATACTGAATGAGTGAATGGACTGGAAAGCTGACTGGAAGATCAGTATGAAAGAGCAGCATTTAGCACCATAGGCAGGATGGCCTGGATAGGTTGGAGTAAAAGAAAAAGTGCATTAGACTTTGCAGTGCGATTGCAGCACTCAAACAGAGCCCAAGGGGAAGTGTTGTAGTAGTTTTCTCATTCATCACAGAGCCTGGCATCATTCCACCTTGAGCTGCCGGTCAGGTCCTGCAGAGTTTATAGCTTGGAACGACTGTTTGACGTTAAGTTGGCTCATGGTAAGTAGATAAACAAGCAGAGGCTACCTATTTTATGTGCTCCACCATTATGCTAACATAATGTCACAGCGTATTTCTTGTCCTTGTACCGGGTTGGCACACGCTTCTCATATATATTACAGCCTTTTAAAGAGGAATTCCACTGATTTTTCAAAATTCAATCTGTATGACTCAATCATTGAGATGAAAACAAAGTTATTTAGAGTGTTTTGATGTGAAATGGTGCCTTATAAAGAAACCTACCAACTACAATGGTGATGATGTCTACTAAACAACCAGTAAATCCACTTATGGTTTTATGAGTTTTTATATATAATGATGATAGTGGTAAATCAGCATTACATATAACGTAAAGTAGTAACTTACTGCTGTATGAAATAGTACCTGAGGTACTACTTTACCTTTACCTTTACTTAGCGTCCTGCATGTATCTCTCTTGAGATACTATTTTACCTTATAATGTTCTCCATGTTTCTCTCTGCCATTAATTAATATAATTATTATAATTTTTTTTATTTATTTATTTTGGCAGCCTTTTTACAGTCATGTCCAATTCCACTTGGCTGGGTCTCCCCCAGTCACGCAATACTGTCCTTCGAGATATGTAAAGCTGGTCACCGCATATTTTGAACTGTTGCTAATGCAATGTCTTTGGACAGATCAATGAACTTGCTAACAGCTAACAGCTAATTGGCTAGCATTGCGCTGAGTGATGGGGAAAGGGAGGGCCATCCTACTCACCCAAAGAGCGAACCAATTGTACCTTTTTGGCGTTCCGGCCAAACTATTCTAAACAACTTTGCTTACATCTTAACGATTTAATTCCACAGAAATTTTACAAAATTGCTAATGGTAGAATTCCCCTTGTTCCTCTTAAAATAACAGCTATGCTTGGTAGGGTTTCACTGATATGGGAATTCTGGGCTGATGCAGATTTCCAATGTTGTTCACGTATATATGCTGATGTCGTTATCAATGGTGATATGTAAACATTTATTAGCATTACAGGAAAATGTAACATTTATTTGTAGATGCAGTAAATGCAGTAAAATGAATGAAAAACTTTAGCGTATTACACCAGTGTTGCCTAAACCAGTGGTGTCAAAATGATCTGCAAAGGGCTGGTGTGGCTGCAGGTTTTCGTTCCAGCAAAGTAGAAACTTACCTGATTTAAGAGACCAACTGATTTAAGCAGTCGAATTAGGTGTGCACAAGCGTGTTTGGAATGAAAACCTGCTGCCACACCAGCCCTTTAAGATTGGACACTCCTGGCCCAAATATCAGTTTGATATATCAGTCAAATATCTACCCAGTGCTTTTTTTTTTGTAAATATCCACAGATACCAATATTCAGATGTCATTGTGCGTCCCTAATGAGACTAGATGTTGTTCACCATTGAAAAGAAAAGGTGCCACATAACTAATATATAAAGGCATGTTGCAGACATTTGAATGTTCTTCAGTACAAACAAAACTACCCTTAGTATCCTTTGCCAAAGAAAACTGTTCTCAAAGAGGAGAGAAAGGCAATTAATCCTGTGATACTGTCTGTGGTGTTGCTACTGTTATACAGTGTTATGGCACCAGGCTTTGTGTGGAGAGACAGCCTGCAGTGAGGGGAAGTGGAAAATCACTCAGGCGATGCACATTGTTCCTCCTTTGCCCTCACCTTTCAGCAATCACAAATCAATGCCATCACCAAGCACATCTCATTAAAGAAATAATGGTGTTCTTTGGCGTCCATCCTCAGTGTATGTTTCTCCAGCTGTTTGGAAACAGGGTATTAGTGAACCTGTCACAGTTTTGCATTGGTCAGTTAACTGTTTAACTAAGACAGTTTCACAAGCAGAGCAGTTAAGCCATCATTCTCTCTCTGTCTCTCTGCAGTATGTTGGAGTGCTCAGGGGAAGTATGCGCACAAGCTGATGAAGGACTTGTTTGCTAATTACACCAGTGCACTGAGGCCGGTGGAAGACACGGACAACATTATTAATGTCACCTTACAGATCACTCTTTCCCAAATCATCGATATGGTAATGGTACCTTGTGTGGTGCTTTACATCTGTCATACTGTCCGTGTCTATTTTGCACTTTTAAACAGTGCCTGGTTCAATTGACACTATAGGTAAAGTTAAACAAAGGTTATTAGAAAATGTCTTTGTTGTTGATCTTACACTAAAATTATGAGAGAAATCTAACCTTTCATTTCGGTATATTACTTAATTGTTGAGTCTTTTATAATGCTGGATGAGGTGGGAGGACACATTAAAGGGATTTCCTCCTCTTCATCTCACTCCGCAGGTTTTCAGTAGGGTGTAGGTCATGAGCCAGAGATGGTCGCTGCAAAAACTTAATTCTATTGTCAGTGAACCGTTTGTTGCAGTTTTGGGCTTCAAACCAACCATGACCCAGCCTCCTGACATAGTCAACCAGGTTTACATCTAAAATGATACCATGTATCTAACAAGTTCCAGCCCCACAGCATCATGGATCCACCACCATACTTCACATATATTCTTTTCTGACAGGCAACCTATACTTTTGTACACTTTTCACTTATCAAAGAGCCATTTCTTAATTATTGTTCTGGCAGTGGAGCTGAGAATTTTCAGATAATACGTAACTGAGAATGATCATAGTGTTATATTATGAGACAAAATTATTACATTATTACTTTAGGGAAAACAGAACTTCACTTAAATTTCTGAAGATATTACATGTAATTTAATGAAAATGTAATAAATGTATAAAATCTCAATAATGTAATAAGGTATTGTGTTATTAGTAAAAGATTATTGCATCATTGGTCAATGTATTTCATTAAACCAAGTTATTACATTAGTTATGTGCAAAATTTATTGTATTTTTATGAGGGTAATCACATTTTTGGGAAGTTACAATGGTGATCAATAAAGGTGCACTGCATTTTCTCTCTCTCTCTCTCTCTCTCTCTCTCTCTCTCTCTCTCTCTCTCTGTTTCGTCTTTCATGGATGAGAGATAAAAAAATACACAAGGGGTCAAATCTGAACTGCATTGTCTGGTCAGTACATAAAGTGCTTCTAACAACATGTTCAAATTATTTTGCGCTGGGGACCAAAGAAATAATATTGTGCACAGAAATTGGAACAGGCTGAGATGATTACTGTAAAATACTTGATTATAGGTTTTTCTGTATTATTTTCCTGTTACTCTTGTGTCTTAAAGCACATGTGTTTTGTATCAGGATGAACGGAACCAGATCCTCACCACGTACCTGTGGATTCGTCAGGTCTGGTTTGATGCATACCTCACCTGGAATAAGGCGGACTACGATGGGCTTGATACCATCCGTATACCTAGTAGTTATGTATGGAGACCAGATATAGTCCTATATAACAAGTAGGTCGGACGGGTATTGAGTTTCATCGATTTTGGTTCTGCCTGCCAGTCTCGCCCATTAGCCTCACCATCTCCTCTGCCTACTTCCTGCTACTGTTTACCCCTGTGTTGCCGTGGACACAAGCTGGACACTTTCCCAAGCTATTATTTACTGGAGTGTCCAGTCAGCGTATCTGCTTCTGTATTTCATCACCCTGCTCTGTTTTACTGCAAAAATATAGCTATAAATAGATGTACAGCTTCTTATTGCTGGTAAATAATGTGGGGCAGTGCTTTACCTTTAGGGAACATGGCTGCGCAGGTGCTTAGACAGGTGTGGGGAAGTCATTTAATCCCTGATAGGGATAATCTTTTTAAGCATGAGCTTTGCTGCAGGACGTAAGGGATTGGATACTAAAATTTTAAATCCCTCTCAAAGGAGAACAAGGGAGCCAAAGTGCAAAATAAATCTCTCCAGCAACTATGCCAGATTATGTTATTGTCTGCTAATGCGTGATTTTTTTTTTACAGATGTCTGTCTTCTCCATTTATATCTAAAAACAATAATCTTAAAAGGAAGTGCATGTAAAATCCAGGGGAAACACCGTACACACTTAATCCTTTCCTCACAGAGGAGGTTATAGGGGAGCTCAGGACACAAAGCATTTTGTTTTTTCCTAAATTATTTTTTTGGTTAAATGATTTTTTTATAAGAACAACCTGCATCTCTGCTGCAAATGCCTATCATTTGTGAACAATTCAGACAAAATCAACACTAGTGTATTTTTAGAACTTACCCCATAAGCAGGATTCATTGTAGCAGACTGAGGGAGTAGTTGTAATATTCACTATGAAGTCTGGTAAAATGGTGCAAGCACAGTTAATTCAATACAATTCAGTGTTGCTTAAACCAGACAAGCCTTGTAACCTAAATACATAAAATACATGGATCAAAATAATTATGACTAGTATAAGACTGTATGTCAAATGTGGCAAACATATTTTAACTGCAAAGTGGAAAAGCAAATACCACAACAATAACATTTAAGTATATTTTATTTGCATGATATCTGTAGTATGTGTTTATGAATATGTAGATAAAGATTATATTATATAAGGGGAATATAGACTTTTTTCATTGTATTCATTGGGTGGTTTAGCTGTAACTTGGCTCACTGATATGAGTTATATGCTTCAAAAAATGCTGTATTAAAGGCACCAAGAAGGAGATTAAATAAAACCAGGTGTGAATTCTGTGACTGACACTCAGGAAACAAATACGCATATAATAGAAAAGGTTTTATGGTATAAAAATAGACAATAAAAATAGTAAATCTCAAGAAATGTATGTCAGATGATGTTGATTTAGGAATATGAGATGGTGGCAAAAAGCATGTTCTATGTGGACCTGTTTAACTACATGAAAATCTGCATTTTTATTGTGCTCCACTCTCCTCGTCTCTTTAGACTGCATTTTTTATAGCATGTAGTTTAGTTTTAAAACTCATTTAAGGTCCAGAATTGGACTTTAACACCACTGCTGTACCTTTAAGGGTGCATTTACATTGTTTGTACCTTGATGAACAAAAATACATGCACAGTACCCTTTTTCTCTGACAGTGTATTTTAAGGTTGGACAAATAGTTTAAGCTGTACACTCATCTGTTTTTTATGTCCCTTGAGTGCTCCATGATCCGAGATGGCACTTTATTTAAGTATTTACAGTTTTCATTTTCCTAAGAACTGTAATAATAATAATTTGTAATCACACTTTGCAGGGTTTTAGGTTCCAACAAGAACGTGGCAAACTGAGAGTCTGCTTTTAGGTGGCAGTTCATTTTTCAATGCACTGGTTAATTTGTAAAATGTCTTAAAATTGCAAAAATATTTTTAGGAGAATAGAATCTTTCAGTGCTATTTGTAGAAAAATGTAATTTACAAAAAACTTTACAGATGAGAAATGCTCTAGGAGAAATGCTGATTGTTGGTAAAATGTTGGAGGCCTCTCAAAGAAGTGCTCATGCACTAGGCACTTGAGATCTACTTAATGTGAGGAATGATATTTAATCCAGAGTTTTATGCATGGTCATGAAATACAGAAACAGACACATTAATGTTTAAAACAAAAAAGGGAAATAGTGTACAGTTCTATAAAGTGTGCACCATCTCCATCTAGTCTGCTTTTGTGCCCTGGCAGCCTATATTTTCACTTTACTTCACTGCCCAAACTTCATCCTCAACCGTCCATGCACTGCTTATTCCAATGCTCATCTACAGCCACAGGGTTTCCATATCTGTTCATCATTTCCCTTTTAAAACTGGCACACTGCAAGTGAGTATCTCCCTTTTTTTATCAATCTCTAGTTGAATAGACGTATTTTGTGTATGATTATTCTCACCATATCAGTTTTAAAAGGCCTGTGTCTTACATATTTCTGATATAAGGTCCACTTATGATATTTGTTTAGGTTTACGTACCAAAAACAATTATTATTCTTTTTTACATAACTATTTTCCAACCTCTCTTTATCCCTTTAGAATGAAACAGACTGTTTGTGTTACTGTGTCTTTAAGACTGAAGTATATAAATGATCTGTGTTTTGATTGGCTGCCCTGCCTGGGCTGAAACACTCTATATTACATCATCATGAATGAGCAGTCTAATGTGCTGGATGCGTGTAAATGTGTATAAGTGTGTTTGTGACATCACAAAAACAATGAATTAAAAAAAAAATTCTGTTTTAGTATGAAAGCGTATCAGTATTGAAATTAAAATGAAAATGTAATATGTACAAAGGCAAAGTATTTGTATGTTTGCATTTAAATTTCCCACTTATATATGCAAAATGCTCAAAATGAAAATGTCAATTCAATAATGCCATTTTTGCCATTTGGTATACTCGTATTGACTTTTCATTTACACAAAGATTTAGAAGCTTTGTGAGTAGCTTTATTTAAATTAAAATGTATTTCCAGAACTGCATATTTATGCTTAATGTGGTTTTGCAACAATGGTATCAAAATAATAATTTAAATGTAGTTTTCTCTCTTTAATAATGCATTTAAATTGCATTATCAAAGAGAACACCAAGCTAGAAAGATGGCAAAATTCAAATGTAAATAAGAAACAGGGCCTCTCCTCTTTGCAAATACATATTCTTGCCTTCAACCAGATTGCATTTTCATTTTCATGGACTTCCTAACCTGCATAAATATGCTGTTCTGAAGATTATTTATTTATTAGTTCTGATAAAGATTACTTGAAACTGTAATAAAAACTTTAGTCAAATGAAGCAGCTAATTCTTTTCTGTCCTTTGTCTGGGTTGCCTTACATCACAGTGCTGACGACCAGTTCTCCAGCTCCATGGAGACCAACGTGGTGATCAGCTATGATGGCCATATCACTTGGGATCAGCCAGCCATCACCAAGAGCTCCTGCAAGGTGGATGTCTCCTTCTTCCCCTTTGATGCCCAGCAGTGCCGCCTCACCTTCGGTTCCTGGACTCACAACGGGAACCAGATGGACATTCTCAATGCTATGGACAGTGCTGACCTGGCTGACTTTGTGGAGAATGTTGAGTGGGAAGTTCTTGGAATGCCGGCAAAGAAGAATATTATACTGTATGGTTGCTGCTCAGACCCATATCCAGATATCACCTACACGCTGCAGTTGAAGAGGAGAGCTTCTTTCTACATATTTAACCTCCTCATTCCATGTATGATGATTTCCTTTCTGGCTCCCCTGGGCTTCTATTTGCCAGCTGACTCGGGAGAAAAAGTGTCCCTTGGGGTTACAGTACTACTGGCCCTCACCGTCTTCCAGTTGTTAGTGGCAGAGAGCATGCCACCCTCTGAAAACGTGCCACTTATTGGTGAGATTTCACATACGTATTCATTATGTAAATTATGCTGACTTATAAAGCGTCACTTAAACTATAAGGTTATTTTCTGTGTCATATAAAGCAACAGAGAGCAAACATTACAGAATCTGCTTACCATGCAGTGTCATACTGTGTTGTAATGTGTTGTCTTTAAAATACTAAAAGCAGCTTAAACATCAATGAAAATCTGTAGGTGCTGTGAATAAGACGGTCCAGGAATATTGCAGAGATATAAGCATTCAGCCAGGAAGACTGGATAAAAATTCCTAAAACATGAATAGAAAGACTCATAATTGGCTACAAAGGCATTTGCAAGGTGTAATATCTGTCAAAGGGGAGTTTGCATGTTCCCCCCATATCTGTGTGGGTTTTCTCTGGGTGCTCCCACAGTCCCAGAGTCCAAAGACATGCAATTAGGCCGACTGGAGATACTAAACTGCCCCTAGGCGTGGGTGTGCGTGAATGTGTATGTCTGTGTGTCTGCCCTGTGATGGACTGGCGACCTGTCCCAGGTGGACAAGGGGCATGAGTGAGATCTGTTAAAGGTTGTGTTACTAAGTAGAGTGTACAAAAATGCGCATATGCCACAATTATTATAATTATCCACAGTTTCTATTTCTTTTTTTTCTATTTTCTAAATTAAAGCTGCACTATGCAAGACATTTTGTGAACATTGAAAAAGTAGCATTACTGAGGGGAAAAAAACATGCTAATATTGTCTCTGTGCACTGCTGTTTACTTCTTTTCAGTTTAAAAATCACCAAAATAGGGGTGCCCAAAGTGTTGAATACAACTGTCGATACTTGATACTTGAAACTGATACATGTTTCAGTTTGAATAAATCCACCCTGGCTTATTTGCATCATGTCATTAAAAACTTGCTGATGCTTTCTGAATATTTAGCAGCAATATTTAGCATTTGGTAGTGCATGGTATTTTAGTAGTTTGCTTTTTTGCAATGCAATCCCACAGAAGGAAATGAACATTAAAAATTAATATCTCATAAGCTAAGAAGTGTGCCCAGAGGTAAAGCAACCCAGGATAAGTTCAGCAGCCGGATAATGCAGTAATTAGACTGGATAATGCAACTGGCACTGTTACACTGCTGTAATTCTTTATTTCCTAGGCTGTAGTTATCTCATTATAGGAGTCTCAGGGCAGTCAATAATGAACATTCAGATAATATATTGTAACTGCGCTCTTGGGACCTGATAAGCAATAATCCCCTGGCCTCATAGTGGGTATTTATGATTGCATCTGGTCAGTGCTATGTGCTCCGTGAGCAGTCTGCTGTCGTGGTCTAATCAATCCTGTTGTATTCACAGGCAAGTACTACATAGCCACAATGACCATGATCACAGCCTCCACAGCCCTGACTATCTTCATTATGAACATCCATCACTGTGGTCCTGAGGCACGACCTGTGCCTGAGTGGGCCCGCCGCTTCATACTACACTACTTGGCCCGAATCTGCTTTGTGTATGAAGTGGGTGAAAGCTGTCTGTCAGTCCAGACCGAGAATACTGCCAAGAGAGGAGCCAGCTGGACCGTCAATGGCCAGACCAGAGGGGAGGAACTGGCTTTGAAGACGAGAAATGTCGTAGCCAGTGAGGCTAGTGATTCTCAGAAGCTGAAGGACCACAAAGAAGAAGTGGAAGATGACCTGAGTTCAACCCTGTCACCGGAAGTAAACGCAACAGCCTGCCCCAGTAGCTGGAAGGATGGGGCTTTTGTGAACATTGATTATGGAGATGTGTCAGGAGCGGTAGGTGGGTATGGAGGACGAAGAGGAACAGGTGGAGGGAGAGAGAGTGAAAGTGTTGGAGCTGTGGGAGGGAAGGACTCAGTAAAAAGGAAAGAGTTGCTGCTCAAGGGCCAGTGCATATGCCATCACCAGTCTTTGCTGAGGAACATTGAGTACATTGCCAACTGTTATCATGACCAAAAGGCCACACAGAGACGGAGTGGGGAGTGGCGTAAAGTTGCTAAGGTGATGGATCGCTTCTTCATGTGGATCTTCTTCATCATGGTCTTCCTTATGAGTTTGCTCATCATGGGAAAAGCTATTTGAGATCAGCCATTCAGCTGCTAGAAGCCTTGTCAAGCAAATGACTTTTCGGACACATCACTAAAACTAGGTTTTGAAGGAGCTGCCAGGAACCACCGGCCTTTTTTAGTGAATTTCAAGACTGATCTGCTTGAAGAACTATGAACATTATAGCTATTTCGACTGACCAAGTGGAATATCTGCAATGTTGTTTTCAAAGGTGCTCAAAGAATTTTTAACGACCATTATTTGCTGATTTTGTCATTTATTCTGTTTGTTGTCCCCATAGCTAATGTTCTTTTATGTGGGCTATGACTGTTAGAGCCCTACCTTTTTTTGTAAAGATGCTGTGTTGGAGTGTAAATGAGATAAAGAGCACGGAATGGAGCCAAACATAGTGTTCCTGTTTTTGTATTTTACATTATAAAATGGATAGTTTCAGTCCTAAAATTGATTGGCTGCACCGTTTGTTGTAAAATACTTGATACATGCACACATGTGACTGCCTCACAATTTAATCCTGTATTAATGCAACGTTATGTTTCTTGCTTGGACCACTGAGCCTATACATACATGGAACCAGGCATCAGTGTGGATAAGGTCCTGAAGCACTACTAAACATACCCTACATAAGAATCTTGTTTAGTTTAAACTTATTTTTTCACCAGCTAGAACTAGGCTGACCAGTTATGCAAGTAGCAGGCTTGGAAGCACCTCAATCAGTATTAGGCTTTGAATGGAAGTATTTACTGAAGGATTCACTGTGCGACTGCTACATGCACACTAAACTATGTTACTTGCATGTCTTTAAATGTCTATGTTTTGATAGATCTGCCATTGGTTGCAATAATTCCAGTGTGGGAAAATCAATGTGCGGTATCTTTAGCTTGATGCTTACAGTTAGCATTATTGTTAAGGTGGTAATTTGATAAGAAAAAGGTACTTTATAAGATGAATGTTTCTGCACAGAACATCATGCTATATTATGATATGTGCATTGTTTCTATATTTCATCATATTGTATGGTGTCTCTGTTTTATAAAAGCAATATGGCACTGAAGGCCTTGCGTGACAATTATTTTACCATGGGTAAGAGGGTTTTAACAATCCTAGGCTTGGGCGGTATTCACTTTTTTATAAATCTTCTAACCGTCACCTAAAAACTACCATGGTAAACTGTGCTTTTGTGCCATCTCATCCTGCATTTATATAAAAATAAAAAACAGCTAATTAAACAGTTCTGTTCGCTTACACAATCACCAAATGAGTGAATGCAGTGCATGATTTTCAGTCCGTCATTCAATAAATGTGAAAACTGCTTTATGTTACAAATTCTAGTAACAGGAAATCTGTTCTGTGGTGTTAGCCAAGCTAATAATCGCTTAGTTAGCAGACAAAAAGTGCCACACACCACAGCACAGGCTCACTTCTAGCTAACTGGTGTTCAAAAGTCACACATTCAGAGATCAAAGACTCATATCTGAGGAGAGCACAGCGTCGAGTGGCTTGTACAAAGTTGAGTGACATCTGAAAAAAAATGTGTTCCAAGACTTTGTCCTACATAGTTTTTCCTGATCTTGATTTAGCAGCACATTAAATGGAGAAAGAAACCATAAACGACACAATACAGCCAAGGGAACCATTTGACTCTACTGTGGAAGACTTTGAGGTTAAAAGCATTTGTGAAGTGATTAGAGGATGCTTAATTTTGAGATGGGAATGCATGTTGGCTACAACTGTTTTTTAGGCAAATCTGACGGACTAATTTATCCTTGGTCCTCAGTAAAATTCAAAAAGGAGGAATGTGTTTTCTAGATAGATGTGGAAAAGAAATTTGACACCATCATAATTTTGAAATGTCATCATTATTTTTAAACATACTTTATTACCGTTATAACCTAAACAGCACCGCTTACTTGTGATAAAATTGCTGTAAAGTGTAGCCTCTTGTTGCTGATTGCTGTATTCTGCTGCCTGAGAGTGTGGCGTTCCACAGACTGCCTGTTTCTGCATGTGAGCCATAGCACCTGTTTACCACAGTAGACTTGCTTTGTATATACAAAGACATATAGTATTTGACCCGTTGCATAACTGTCTACCTGCAGCTGAAACATATGTTGTGTATGTACAATGCCATTAAATGCTCAGATATATGGTTTAATTGCGGTTGTACTTTTTTAACAAAGCAAAATGAGTGAAAACTGGAGGAGATTTCACTAAGTACGTTTACATGCACTCAATAATCTGATCTTAATCGGATTTCTGCAGTTACCTGATTATTCAAGTAGTTGTTTAAACAGCATACTCCAATTTCTTAGATTGGTCTAAAGGTCTAGAAATCTGATTAAGAAATTCAATCCAAAGAGAGCTGGATTTTAGCTTAGTAATCAGATTTCTCAGTCAACACGTGCAAAAAGCAGACCGTGGTACCGGAAACAAGCAAGCAGCATTGCCGCAAGATGGCAGCAAAACACTTTCGGAGTGACGCTGAAACCAAGCCCCTGCTTGACGAAATGAAGGTCTATGTTTATAATTTCCAGTAAAGTGGAGTGATGTTTTAAAAAAAAAGCTGTGGTATGAAGTTTGAGGTTTACAATATGGTTACGTCACGTCTTCTTCTGTGAGTTTATTGGCTCGTTGCAAAGCAGAAATCCGATTACTGCCTGAATCATGTACACCCGGAGTGTTCACATTATCTGATTACTCAATTGCATGTAAACGTTTTGATCGGATTACTGACAAAATCTGATTTTCTGCAGTTATCGGATTATTAAGTGCATGTAAACACACTCACTGCTTCTGAATAATCTTATAAAAGGTTTAAATTGATTAAAGTCCTTGTGGAATGAAGATTGATCTCTAATCCGTGGGCACTGCTCAAGGTGCTTGTCAAACAAAAAAAGAGACTTTAACTATGACATATAGACACTCTAGATACTTATTATAGAGGCATTTACGATGTTTTTCAAAAGGCATGAACTTCTAAATGGAATTTATGGTCACTACATAATGAATTTAGTAAATTAAACATAGTTGATAGTTCAAGTAGTTACTTTAAAATTTTAAAACTCAACGTTAAATCTGTGTTTGTGGTCTTCTCAGTTATATTGATCTTTGTGTTTGTGAGTGTGAAAAACAGGAACAGATTCATCAAAACAGTGTGATTCCATGTCGACAGGAGTCACGGATACAGTTTTGAAGTTGAGGCCAATTTTAACATAAATCATCAAACCTTCCTTTGATATATTCATTATTCCCTCCACTCAGTCACATAACCTTCTGCTTTGTGTGCTGTCACAGCAGCCATAAGGTTAATTAGAGCCTGCTTTCAGTGGAGAACTGAGGGGGGTACGATTGCTGTGAGAATGTAAACCTCTTTCACTCTGTCTCCCACCACATGCACAAACAGGCCTTATCTGTCCAGCTGCCTCTTTTCTGATAGCAGAGTTTGCACAAACTGCAAAGTAAAGCCATCAGCATGTGCTGAAATTTCAAGTCTAATACCAAATTAGCCTGTTGACCTTGAGAATCTTCTTACCAGCCAGAATATACTTCGTTTTAGTCTGATTCATTACAATGGGAGCTGCCAGTCTTAGAGGAAAGCTCTGGCCTTGCAGTTTTGCTGCGATTGCAGTACCAGGGCACTTGCTGACTCACCAGGATCCTTTATTTAAGTAATCGCACTGTAAGTGCTCTAGAGTGTTATGGCTAGATAGTTTGACCACCACAGTTAGGCCCGTGCCAATAGACCAACAGGTTTGGGTAAAGCATGATAAAAAGACAATGAATGATCATCAGTATTTTATTTATGGCCAAGACTTTTTTCCTTGTAAGATAAAAGACTGTAATGAATTTCCCAATTTGAAACACCCCCAGTTATAAACAGTTTGGGGCCAACTTTTAAGATACACCAAGTTCATTAATCGGCAAACTATGACTTCAAACAACAATGTCCAATTGAGATAATTTAGTCTAAGTTCAGTATTAAAGGGCCCATATAATGGAAAATTGAATGGAAAATGTACTGTTCACTCCCCAGTCCATTCAAAAATGACCTGTTTTGAATTCATTGTGATGTCACAACCTTTTTGAACAAAAAAAAAAAACATTATTAAAGCTTCAGAATAAACTGTTCTCTTCCCCGTCCATGCAGTCCATATATATATAAACTAAGCTTCAAAATGAGCCTGTTTTGAATTTGTTGTTTTTTGTGAATTCAGTGCAGTTACATATATTCACCTATTTAGCCTACAGCAGGATAGTCTGCTCCTTCATGTTGGAGTATTTCAGCCCAGACTTTTTAAAATTCTGAACAGTTCTGAGCCAGTCAAAATGCTGTACCGAAAACGTCTGTTCTAAGGGACGGAGAGAGGTTGGAAAATAGTCAAGTAAAAATGAATTACGACTAGTTTTTGGCACATAAAACTGCAGACATATCATAATTGAACCTCAAGAAAAATTTAAAACAGAAGACAAATGTAGGATAAGGGCCCTTTAATGTGCATCATGCACTGGAAAAACTCTTGATGTCTCTCATTTCATTCTTACAATGAATAGGCATAACTCATGTGGAATGAGAAGAGTTTTTTATTGTCCCCCTTTTAACCACATTTTGAATGTCTTATGTGCCAAAATACAGCATGAGTTAACTAATTATCTCCCTAGAATGAATCACTGCCTGAACTCTACCTACATATACTTCATCTGAGTGACTCCAAATGCAAAAACCAAACACAAGATGGTGCCAAAATCACACAGAATTTCTCACCACACTAAAATAGTTTGCTGACAACACAAAAATCAAAACTTTGGGTTTCGTGGACACTGACACTTTTTTAACAGAACTTTTTTTAAACAGTTCCAAAATACAGTATCTTTGTCTTTAAACTATGGCAAATGGCAAGAGAAAATCAGATGCCTCAATTAAAACAATGAATTAATAGAATGCATTTGAAATTATAATAATATAACCAGGTGAGCTGCTTGTCTTTTGAAGTACAAAACATAAAATGTGTATCCATCACTGTTTGAAAAAAACATTCTCCATGATAAAGTTTGAATGCTCACACAAATTGTGTACAGCAACATTTCTTCTTAATCCTGCTTACGGTGACCCACTGCACTGTTTCTAGTATTCTATGACTCAGTCCAGCTCTGAAGCAGCTCTTCAGCTGATTATGGAGGCCTTTATTAACTGTATAAGGTGTGATGAGAGAGGGAGTAGCTGAGCGTGTGCAGTGCTATAAATTACCTCGAGTAGGATTAAGAAATGAATATCTGAGTATCTGTCTGTGAACTGAAGCTCAGTAGAAGATGGATCTTGCAGCAAGACAATAACCCTAAACACACCAGTCCATCTACCAAAGAATGTGTTCTGCAGTCAAAATCCAGACCTTAATCCACTAGAAATGTTCTGGCAGGTCCTGGAGTGTGGAGTTCATGCATGAAAGCCCACCAAAAATTCCTCTAAGTGAATGTGTGAGAATTAATGTTTGGTTGAAGTCTTTGCTGCTCAGGGGCGTCACACCAGATACTGAAAACAGAGGTCCACATGCTTTTTGCCAACAAGGACATTTAATGTTGGATTGCTTTGTTCTATAAATGAATAAAAAACTATACAATTGTTTGTGCTATTAGTTGTATTGGGTTCTCTTTCTCTGACATGGTCATACTAAAATATAATTTTCTTCTGTCTGAGCCACTCTTATGTGGATCTAATCCTGTGTTTTGCTTTTTCTGGGCTTTAGATCACAGATGGCTTGACTTTCAGGATTTAGTGATACAGCTCAGAATTCATTAGTCTTTCAATGATTTTAAGCCTTTCAGGCCTTGAAGCAGCAGCCATTATACACTCTTCACCATGTTTCACAGTTGATATTTTGGTGTTGGCATGAAGTTTGTTTTGTCTTTAAACATAGAATTATACATTTACCATGTAGTGTTGTGGAATATCAGCACTACTTTTTCTTTTAGAGAGCAGCCGTCAGTGCTAATCTCCCATGACGTAGGCTCATGAACACAGATAATATCAAGAGCTGGAGATGCCTCCAGATCATTAGC